TAGTTTAAATGCAGTAAATCGACCTTGCTAACCAGACGCTTCCTTTGTAGCTAAACTGGCATAGCACATTAGGCTATACGTTTTAGGTTTATATGAGATTTCTCAGATATTCAAACCAATAAATGTTGTTAATACTGTTTATTATAAACTGAGCATTTACTTAAATATTTGTGTTTAACAATAAAATATACAGAGACAGACAGAGATAGACAAAGTTCAGATTGCCATTTAATATGCATACAGCCTTTCCCCTTCATACATCTTCATAAATGCTGAGATTTAGCCTGTTTGCTTAATCATTATATTTTCTCAATTGGACATGCTGTGGTCATTCAGATATGTTTGTTTCTCTCATTGGCATTTCTTTTTTCTTTTTATGTGCCATGTCCTTTTAGGACATAGGTGATCATGGCTCTCCATCTCCTCCTATCCCTTGCAGCTCTTAACAAGTTCCTTCCCTCTGCCATCTCCCCCCAGACCCTGTTCTGTCAGCCTCTAATTACCATCAGAAGTTTTAATCTAAAAGATGTAATGTACTACTTTGTTTGGAATGGTCAATTGTTTACAAGTATATAGATGCATTGATTAAAAAAAAAAGTATGAATGGTAAAAATATTAGCAGTTTCCTTAAGGAAGGAAAAAAAAAAATCAGCATTCATTGACCAAGCAGTCAGTGCTAGTACTGGTTGAAATTTATAAAATCTTTCTAATAAAACAATTTTTCAGGAATATAGGTTTTTCAAGTCAACTGTTATCACTCTTTCTAAATATTGATTTTTTTTTTTTTTTTTGGGGGGGCTTCTGAACATTTGCATCTTGATTATATCACTATTTTCCCCATTGAGTTTCATGTGCTATCCAATTTAGTTGTTTCAGTCTTCAAGTGATGTGATTTCTGTTATTTGATAGTTCTTTGTGATCCTGTAGCACCAGTCCATATGATTCAAAGGAGGATAGTCTTCATTAAGACCTACAGCTTTCATTCACTTGAAGTCATTTTTAGCCATCTGAGAAAGTGGTTGTATACAGCTGATAGTAGTTTAGATATTTCTAAATCAGTTTGGTGTCATGCATGACCCGTGACAAGGCACACCTAGCACAGCCTATTCTATGTTCAATTTCTTTATTTCATACACTAAATTTGTCATAAATACCAAGATATTTGAAGAGTTTTATATTTACTAATTCCACATCCTAAATTTTTAAGATGGATTTTGAGTAGGTATCATGGACAATAATATAAAGAAAATAATAGACAAAATATTAGGAATTATTATAAAAAGTTCCACATAGAAACAATACAGAAATCATTTCTTTTACAGAAAGGATAATAAAAATAAAAGTATCACCAATACAATGATAAAATGCTAAAACATAATTAGGGAATACAAGATGTGTCAGTTTTGTGAAAGGAATCAAGACTATATGCTCTTTTACAAGTATATAACCTTAAATCAAAATGCCTGTCATATGTAGATGAATGCAAATACTTTCATCTGATTTTAACCTTTTTTCACTTGATTTAAATTTACATTAGTTTTCTCAGAACAGCAATTGATACTTTTATTATGCTACATGTCAAACATACAGTTTCACAAATACCACAAAATCTATTAAATGAATAAAGTGTAAAATCCAGTCAATTATTCTTGCAGCTTTTGCAACAGTACAAACATAAAAAAATTCTTGTTATTAGATGAGATATCAAATAAAAACAGATATATTACTAAAATTGTATTGAAATGAAATTATTCAGAATTAAATCTTAATACAAGAATGAATCAATAAATCCATAGCCTGACATAATTATTCGTGGAATTCTAATATGATATTTTCACTATAATATTCACTAGGTTCACCCATCGTCTGGTTCCCACTCCTCCCTGATCTTTTAAACAGGAGGAGAGGTTTATTCCTTGTTTCCAGTTCCTTCTAAAATCTTTTCATTCTCTTTCACTTAATGACACTATCCCCCTTCTTGGGGGTAATAATTAAAAATAAATAAATAATGTGATTAATGGAAAAGTGTTTGGGTTAAGTGCATTGACAAGAAATTAATTTGCAAAGTGTGTGTGAAATAAATGCTTTTTTTTCCCACAATCGGCAGACTAAAACATTTTTTTTATCATCAGAAATATACTAATCCCAAACTAATAATAATCTTTAATTTATTTTTCTTTTAGAAATATATTTCTATTTTTAAGATATTAATTTTCTTTCTGGTTAACTTTCTGATGATAAATTTAATTAATTCTAGACTAGCTTTATATATATATATATATATATATATATATATATATATATAAAAAATGAACATTGAAATTAGACACTTAGAGGCAACAGGCTATTTCATACTAGACACAATCGTCAGGTGGCCTGACGATTGCATCTAGCATGAAACAGCCTGTCGCCTCTGAGTGTTGACTTCAATGTTCACTTTTATATTTACATACGCTCTATCTGATATTGAGCACTTTATCCCATAAATATAGCACACCTTAAGAATATATATATATATATATATATACACACAACCACTAGTGTAACTGTACCATCAAAATTGATAGCAAGAAGGAATGTCTTGTAAGTAATATGTATTATCTTGTAAGTAATTTTTGTTCAATCCATGTAAAATTTTGTAATTTAAAATAGTTCATCGTTAATGTTAATAATTGAACAGTGTACAATTTGTAAACACCTCAAGAAAGATATCCGTATTTTATCCTCATAAATATTACACCGTTACAACCAAAATCTTTACTGCAAAAGTTCCCAAAGCATTAACATAATATAAAGCTTTTCATCCTTCTACTCAAGTTTTTGTTAAATGTCAAAGTTCTGAGTGTCAAGATTCGATACAATTTAGTTCTTATTGCGAATGTAGTTCACCACACCCTCCCTCACCAACTTGTGCAAAGTGAGAGGGAAAGAAAGAGTTTACTTTGTAGTTAGCTTTTTGTGTGTGGACATGAATGAGGTCTTTTGCATACTGCCCCTCAATTGTTACACATACACAAAAAAATTTATTAATATATATATATATAACTTTTTTTTCTAATATTTCAAAAACCGTCCAATCATTTCACACAAAATTTTCACACAATGTTGGCAACACTGACCTGCACAATCACTGAAATTTTCCTACTGATCTGCACAATGTAAACAAACTGGCGCCATATTTGTTATCAGCATGGTGATTTGAGCATGCCAAATTATTAGAAAGGTTTAGTAAAATTCCTAGAATTGAGCAAACAAAACGTTTAATGTTGCACATGAATGTTTATGATCAAAAGAAGCTAATAAATAAAATAATCAAACAAATAATAACAGATACAAACAAAGCACAGTTTTAAACAGATTAATAGGGAATGTGCTTTCCCTGTTTTGAAATTACTTGAAGTCGACGATTCATAAAATTTGTGCAACATTAATAAACGTTTTGTTTGCTCAATTCTGGGAATTTTACTAAACCTTTCTAATAATTTGGCACACTCAAATCACCGTGCTGATAACAAATATGGCGCCAATTTGTTTACATTACGCAGATCAGTAGGAAAATTTCAGTGATTGCGCAGGTCAGTGTTGCCAACATTGTGTGAAAATTTTGCATGAATTGATTGAATGGTTTTTGAAATATTAGAAAAAAATTATCTCGATAATAACTTGGCACGCAGTGTGCGTGTATATATATATGTGTGTGTGTGTGTGTGTATTATATTTAAGGATATAATTTAGGAATGTAATTATATATGATGACTCTAAATTCAAAACTATGTAAAAAATAAGAAACCACTCCCTTATCATTCCTAAGAATAAACAAGACAATGCACAGTTTTCAGATATTAAAGGAAAAGGAAGCTGTGAAGAGTGAACCATTGTGAATAATGTAAATAGACTCTTTAGGTATGATTTCCAGAAGACATTCCAGAAATCTTAGCAGAAATTAATAAACCCTGAACTCTCTCTCCAATGCCATTGCAACTTGAATGTTGAAGTTTATTTTAGTTTTTGTTTTTTGGGGGTTTTTTTAAAAGATAAATTATAGCAAACCACTTCCTATTATTCAAAGGTTAGAGATTTTGCTTTAAGCAACTTTTCTCTTCTGAGAAGTCAAAATAGTTGAGCACCAACAGAAGACTAAGCTGTTCAGGAGTTGCTATCATTGCTCATCTTGAGAATCAACTGAATAGGACTGCTGCACTTAAAAAAAAAAAAAAGTGTGTGGGGGGTAGAGTGGTGGGATGTGCATTTGGTACAGATCTGCACATAAAACTGAAAAAAAATTACTTGGTTAAGAAAGGGTGCGTAGTCATGGATGCAGTGAAATTATATAACATGACCCCGTTTTATTTAGAAGCTCACTCCATCCCACTTTCTGCAGAACAAAAAAAAAAAAAAGAGAACAGGGTGAAGAGAGAAGAAAAATGTTTAATGGGATGGTGGGTAAAAACAACCAACATTCCTCATTTAAAAAAAAAAAAAAAAAAGATGTGGAGAAAGGGCAATTACGGGCCATCCTACAGTAGAGTGGTCATCTCCGCCCATCAATTGAGAGTTAATAACAAACTAGCAAGAGACAGCTCATTGTGGAGTGGGGTTGGGTTCTTTCCTAAACACTTATCCCTACTAGACATGCTAACAGTAGAATTGTGTCAACCATACCAAGACTTCTGGAGAGGGGACGGGAGTGTTTTGATGCTAGGGATCAAAATAAAAATTGTGGGTAGTGCCCCCTCTTTATTCATATTTCTTGACTTAGTCTATAATGAAAAGCATCAAAGATCCACACGCACACATCCACCCTAACACACACTTTTCAATATTTCTTTATCAGTACTTTAAGCTCCAGCAACAAGACATATATTGTCTGTTGCCAAGTTCATCAAAAGCATGTGTACATATAAATGTCTAAATTTGATATAATCTATGATAAATATGTATGGATATAATTTTTAATAAAAATATTTTAAAAGTGGAATTTACTTGTGACTTTTTTGTTTTTAGAAGAAAAAAAGAAGAAAAAAAGAAGAAAAAAAAAAAAGAAAAAAGAAGAAAAAAAAGAAAAAAGAAAAAGAAAAAAAAGAAGAAAAAGAAAAAAAGGAAAAGAAAAGAAGGAAAAGAAAAGAAGGAAAAGAAAAGAAGGAAAAGAAAAGGAAAAGAAGAGGAAAAGAAGGAAAAGAAAAGGAAAAGAAGAGGAAAAGGAAAGAAAAGGAAAAGAAAGAAAGAAAAGGAAAAGAAGGAAAGAAAAGGAAAAGAAGGAAAAGAGGAAAAGAGAAGAAAAAAAGGAAAGAAAAGGAAAAGAAGGAAAGAAAAGGAAAAGAAGGAAAGAAAAGGAAAAGAAGGAAAAAAAAGGAAAAGAAGGAAAGAAAAGGAAAAGAAGAAAAAGAAGGAAAAGAAGGAAAAGAAGAAAAAGAAGGAAAAGAAGAAAAAGAAGAAAAAGAAGGAAAAGAAGGAAAAGAAGAAAAAGAAGGAAAAGAAGAAAAAGAAGGAAAAGAAGGAAAAGAAGGAAAAGAAGAAAAAGAAGAAAAAGAAGGAAAAGAAGGAAAAGAGGCAAAAGAAGGAAAAGAGGCAAAAGAAGGAAAAGAGGCAAAAGAAGAAAAAGAAGAAAAGAAGAAAAAGAAGAAAAAGAAGGAAAAGAAGAAAAGAAGGAAAAGAAGGAAAAGAAGGAAAAGAAGGAAAAGAGGCAAAAGAAGGAAAAGAGGCAAAAGAAGGAAAAGAGGCAAAAGAAGAAAAGAGGCAAAAGAAGAAACTCCGGAGAACCTTCTGACCCTTATAACTATCACCCTATTAGTCTCCTTTTCAGCAAAGTATTTGAGGTTTAATCAATGCCAAAGTTGTTAAGCATTTTACCTATCACAACCTACTCTCTGACTAACAATATGGCTTCCGTTTTGTCATGTCTATCAGTGATGTGCTAACGGCCATCACTGAATATGTACATAAAGCTCTTTATAATAATGGCAAAGCTCAAGCTGTGGCTCTAGATATCTCGAAGACATGGCCTGCTGGTCTTCTACATAACTCCAGTGCGACGGTATTACAGGACGATTGTTTGATTTTATCCAATAGTTCCAATCAAATTATGAAATGAAGGTTGTTTTGATGATGTCATCAGTTCCCAAGTAGGCATTTAATGCAGATGATACTACCATTTATTCCCGTCTCAATAGCAAATCCACCAGGGTTGACAAAGTTAACCTAACTGCTGCTTTTGAAAAGGATCTCCAATCACTGGTTAACTGGAGCAGAAAATGGCTTGTAAATTTTAATGCCTCCAAAATGAAACTGCTCTCATTTAACCACCATATTACTCCTGGAGTGTGACACACTGTGTCTTCTTGGCCTCACATTTTCAACTGCCGTGAAGTGGAATGACTACATTGAATCAATAGCTGCATCTACAGTGAAGAAAGTTGGATCACTGTATCATGACAATGACAGAAGATTATACTCATCAGAGTCCATCTTGTATATTTACAAATCTACCATTCATTCATGCATTGAATACTGTTGCCATATCTGGTCTGGTGTTTCCACTATTCATCTTGAGGTTCTTGAAAAAATCCAAAGAAGGATTTGCAATGTAATCAATCCTGACTTGGCATCTTGATTTCAGTCACACATGCTACTAAATTGGCATCTAGGTACCAACCATTTTACTGTTGGTATAGTTAAATGCAACCCCCACTTCTAGTCCAACAGTTTCTTTTCTTGCACCTCACAGCTGTGAAAATCCCTTCCATTTACTTGCTTCTCTGAAAACTAGTTTTGTGTCACTATAACTCCTTTTAGTTTACACTTCCCTTGAGAAGACAAGTTCTTAAAGTCTTTTCTTTTGCTTCTCGTTCTCAACTTAGTTATATTTTCAACTTCCCTATTTACCTTTCAATGATCTCAGCAAAGCTCCTTTGATATTTCCAATGTGAACATTCCCTCAACTCAATAACTTAATTATTTTCTGTTTTTCAATATTTCTTAGATTCCATCCCATTATCCAGGTTTCAACATATATTATGGATAAAAAGAAAAAAAAAGTTTTTATAAGATTTTAGAGGCTTTAAACTAATATTAGTTTAATCTGCATAATAACGACTGCAGTTTTTATAATAAATCCAATAACTTTAAGAAACTACCAAAAATTTTAACTCAGGCTTTGTTCTAACATCTTAATTACTTAAAATTTCACAAAAATTGTTCAAAGCAAATTCAAGTTTTTGAGGTTTATGTGAGTTGCATAATAATTTCAGACAGGCAGTATATATAAAAGTAGAAGAGAGTTTGATATGCATAGCAAAACCATTTCATATGCCTACTTATTAGACCCTTTACTAAAACCATTTAGTATGCCTACTTATTAGACCCTTTACTAAAACCATTTAGTATGCCTACTTATTAGACCCTTTACTAAAACCATTTAGTATGCCTACTTATTAGACCCTTTACTAAAACCATTTAGTATGCCTACTTATTAGTCCCTTTACTAAAACCATTTAGTATGCCTACTTATTAGACCCTTTAAAACCATTTAGTATGCCTAAAACCCTTTACTAAAACCATTTAGTATGCCTACTTATTAGACCCTTTACTAAAACCATTTAGTATGCCTACTTATTAGACCAAATGAAATATTTTAGCATAACCAATCTGTTCATTCTCAGTAGAGAGCAGCTGTACCATTTTCCCGTATATGGAAATATCTTTACAGAAACAATTAACATTTACAACTATTCATTACAAAATTATAATTTCTTTTGTTACTATGGTACAGACAAGAATATTAATTGTATGCTTTCAAAAGCAATTTTACTGAACAATTTTTCTCTTAAAATATATTTTCTACTTTTCATACTGAAAAGAAAAAGAACTATTCTCCAGTGAGCAAACATGTCTCAACAGGTTTAGAAAATTGAATCAGAGTAGCAGACAAGAATAATTCCATGCACTAAATTCCAATAATATAAAGAAAATAATAGACAAAATATTAGGAATTATTATAAAAAGTTCCACATAGAAACAATACAGAAATCATTTCTTTTACAGAAAGGATAATAAAAATAAAAGTATCACCAATACAATGATAAAATGCTAAAACATAATTAGGGAATACAAGATGTGTCAGTTTTGTGAAAGGAATCAAGACTATATGCTCTTTTACAAGTATATAACCTTAAATCAAAATGCCTGTCATATGTAGATGAATGCAAATACTTTCATCTGATTTTAACCTTTTTCACTTGATTTAAATTTACATTAGTTTTCTCAGAACAGCAATTGATACTTTTATTATGCTACATGTCAAACATACAGTTTCACAAATACCACAAAATCTATTAAATGAATAAAGTGTAAAATCCAGTCAATTATTCTTGCAGCTTTTGCAACAGTACAAACAGAAAAAAATTCTTGTTATTAGATGAGATATCAAATAAAAACAGATATATTACTAAAATTGTATTGAAATGAAATTATTCAGAATTAAATCTTAATACAAGAATGAATCAATAAGTCCATAGTCTGATGTAATTATTAGCAGAATTCTGATATGACATTTTCACTATAATATTCAATCAATATAATTAATGGAAAAGTTTTTACATTAAGTGCATTGACAAAGAGATTAATTTCAATTTGACAGAAGCATTTTGCAAGTGGTAGTCACAAGGGGAGGCTAAATTATTTTCCAATAGATTGAATAAAACACAATTTTGTCCAGAATGGACAATGTGAGTGAGAGAAAGAGAAATAGATCATTAAAAGATTTGAAGAATTAATCATATAAAATCATTTTCAGTAATATGTGTTGATATCTGTCTCCACACAAGCAGAAAACATACATACAAGTATGCCAAAAAAACATATATATATATATATATATATATATATATATATATATATGCACAGTCATACATGTGTAATAATATCAATGCACAGACAAATTACAAACAGATACAGCAGTAAATTGTGCCTCCTACAAAGAGGCACAAAATTTTTCTTTTTTTTTTTTAGGCCCAAGAGCCAGAAGGAAGACAACTAATCACAAGATATCAGTGTATAGAATCACCATTAAATAAAGATATGAATCACTAAGCCTTGAAACATTCATGACTAGGTGAGACTTGGACAGCAGACACAACCACTCAACAAACAAAAACCATCACCCTAACCATACCCTGTATCAATTGCAAATTTCAAAGACAAGAGCACACACACAGAGATAGAGGCAGAAGCCTAGCCAACCAATGAAAAATCAATAAAAGTACAAAGTTCTTCTCCCTAATCTATATGCTTTCAGCTTTTCACTCAGGGCACTGCGGTGTGAATCAGTTAGTGGAACCAAAATGAATGGGAAATGGCATGGAGGTTGGGTAGGGTTGAACAGAGATTTATATACATATATATATATATATATATAAACACAAATGCCAATATCCTATTAATTCTCTTTCCATTCTCGACCCTGTCTGACAGATGCACATAGAACATTTACAGATATGGGCATACGCACAAAAATAGGTAAAAATCACACACTGAAACAGTCCTGAAACAAATGTTTGCTGGTGGGGGGGGGGGGTAATGAAGACATTAAAAGAGAGACCAATATCCTCCTCTTTCCATTATGCTAACACATGCATAGAAAGCTCAAGGCACTCAAGTTGAAAGGCACAGCATAAGGAAATATATTCTAACATCAAAAACAATGACATCAACTTGCACTCTCAAAAGGTCAGCAATTAAAACTGGCCAGCCCAGGCACCAACACACCTTCAGATACACCCCACCGCATCCTTTATACACTATCATTCTGAATGGTCAATGACGAAAAGTTGCATTCATGTACATACACACATAAAGACCATTTTAAATCTGATCATGAGAGAAATCTTCAGAAGATTTCAACTTTAAATATACTATTTGATGTGAATGAATAAGGAAGAGACATCAAGTATTTCAGATTCAAATAAGAGATGGTCACAAACCAGTTAGAATGGTCGAATTTACATTAAATAAAACTTACAAAAGAACAGAAACACTGTAATTTTCAGCAAGCATTAAAAGTATTAATGCTCTCGTAACTTTCTTTTACTTTTGCCCAACAAATAACATTAAATAAAAACTCAGTTTATTAACAGATCACAACATCTATCAGAGAGATGAAATTTAAATTTTTATTATTGCACTATTCCAAAATTTTAATACATCAGCAAATAGCTATTAATGTTAACAACTGAGCACAAACAGTTAATTAAAAAAATTAGTAATTAATGCATAAATTCAAATTTATTAATTAATAAAAAATAAAAGCAATTCATATTACTAAAATCATAGAAACAAATTAAAAATCAGAAGAGTCAAAATCACTAGTCGTAGAGAGATCTGAATCACATCTTCAGATACATCTTCATTTTTTATGTCCTCATAATATAAGTTAACTATTTTATAGGTTTTTTGTATACAATGGTTAATTGTTTCACTAGATATATATTTTCAAGTGTTCCTTTTAATCTAGCAAACACATCACTGAACTTGATACTTGAATTGTATTTTCTCCCAACCTCAGCTTCTGTGATAGCCCACGAGTTCTATAGGTTGAAGATCGAAGCAGTAGGGAGGAGTAAAAACCACTTGATCTCCAGTATTTTTGGCCATGTTGTTTATAAATTGGTTTAACAAACAACTGTATGTAATTCTTATACCTAAAATTGTCTTAAGATTGACCTCAAATAGGAAACAAGCAAAAAGAAAAAAAAAAAAAAAAGAAAAACCTGACAGAGGAGAATGATAACGAAACTAAAACAGATAGGTCTCATGCAGTGTAACACAGGTCAAAGCACAAGACAATTCAGTCAAAGGCAACAGGTGTAGCCAAAGAGGATAACATATCTTAAATATATATAACAGATAGTTAATTGTTTGGTCTAAGCCATCATCCTAAAGTTAATCTTTTGATCACCAAATCTTTATTTCAAAATGTATACGAGTCATAATCATCTTTCTACTTTTGAAAACTATATTTTTCAAAGGGTAAATTAAAAGTAACCTTTAAAATAATTTAAAGAAGCACGTCTACTCACCTCTTGCCCGAGGTCGGGAGAACAAGTTGCCATTAGGTGGTGGGGGTCCAGACACTGCAGGAGTTGCTGAGGAAAAGGAATGTGAAATTAGTATTTGGTAGATGGAGGCAGTTAGAGAGGAAAGGCAAGTTGAGTGATAAGGTTTGGATATTTTTAGTGGTGACCAAAAATAAATAAATAAATAAATAAAGACATGCATATTTTAATAATACAAAAATAAGAGAAATTGTTTATTTTATAACGAGCAATGCACCACCCCCATGAAATTAGAAAGTAAATCAATCAAAGACTATACGCTGCAGATGCTTTCATTATTTCTACCTCAGTTTAAGACTATACAAACAAAACTTTAATATTAGTAATGGTAATATTAATTGTTTCCCTACAAGGAAACATTTGGCATTGATTGATCAAGCAGCTGGTATTGCTTTCAGTTGAAATTTATAAAACTTTTCTCTTAAAACAATTTTTTTAAGCCCTTAAAAATTATGCAAGTGGCTATTATGGATTTTTTTAGGAAGAAGATTTTAAAAGGACTTCAATCATATTAGAGCAATGTTCTTATTGATGGAATTATATATAGAGTGCGATGAGTAAATTGTTGTCTAAATTGTGCAAAAATGAAAATAACACTGACATCTCATTTTAACAGGTATATTTACCAAAATTAGACAAAAACATCTTGAAATACTAAAGAGTAAATTTATTCAATAAAATAGCCATTGGCTTCAACCACAGCCCCCCAAATGAGTTTGGAATCTCATGCAACTCTTCTGGACACTCTCCTTGTTTAAGTTGGTGAATGCTGGCATAATTCTTGCCTTCAGATCATCTTTGGTATTACAAGAAGTTTTGTTGCTCAACTGCACCCCACACATAATAATCAAGGGGGATGCAGCAGTCTGTGGATTTAGGTGGCCAGATGTAAGGGGCGATATGGTTGCAGAAGTTGCCTGACATTCTCCTCCTTGTGTGGCATGTCATGTTGCCAGATATAGGGTCTTCTAGCAACCACCCTCTTGCCTTAGGTCAGCACTACCTCAAGGCACTTGATTTAGGCCTCTGTGTTAAGTCTGAGGCCCTCATCAACATATTTGGGAATGTTTTTCTTATCAGAATGAGTTTTTTGAGCTGCTGTACTTTCATAATCACCATTAGGCTCATCCAACTCTTTCCGAATCCTCTACACTATCCTCAGATTGACACCCAAACATTCTGAAATGTTTGCATAGGAGCTTCCGGGGCAAATATCAAGCAATACAGTATGCAGTTTCCAAATTATTGCCAGAATGAATTGCATCATAGTGTTCTTTTTTCATAGATGGTGCTCAACTGACCCTATTATTCTGTGCAGTCAACAAAATCAAAAACAAACATGCATGCACAAAATTAAAAATATAAAATGGTGTCAATTTACCCATCACACCCTATATGTGGGGAAGGAGAGATATAAACGCAAATAAGATACTGTGTTTAATCAAACATGACAAAAGTGGTTTGCAAAGTTTTGTGCAGGAGATTAATCATATAATGGTTACAAAATGGAAAATATGATCATAGAACAAGTGACATTAAATTCAAACAACCATATCTAAAGCCAATCTTCATCCAAAGAATGTAATGCTATGTGTATAGTGATATTGGAATGGTAATAGCCATTTCCCTACAAGGAAACATTTGGCATTCATTGAACAAGCAGCAAGTACTGCTTTCCATTGAAATTTATGTAATCTTTTTAAAACCATTTTTTCAGGAAAATAGGTTTTTCAAGTCCACTAGCTGTTATAGCTCTTTCCAGTACTAATGAGGGTTTTTTTCTTAACCTTTTATTTGAAATAGTGTAGAATGTAAACATCTTGATTATGTCATTATTTTCTCTGAGTCACACATGTTATCCATTTTAGTTGTTGCTTCTGTTATTACTAACCAAAAATGCTGTCTACTATAAAAATTAATCTCTAACGAATAAAGATTTCGTTTTTTGTAACCATATCCCTCAATTAAAATGAGTTGTTATATTTGTCAAAATTCCCAAAAGTCACATTCAACGCCATACCTGTCATGAAAAATACTATCCTGCTGGTTGACTGACTCAAGATAAAAAGCATGTTTTTATCTACATTCCCATAAAATTATTTTCATCAACGTCATTAACAATCATGCATATACATAACAAAGGATTTCTGCACAGCTGTCAAGCTTAAGCCATAGTCAAAGAAAATGATTTTTTTTTTTTTTTTATTTATTTTGAAAAACCAATAAATGCACAAAGAAATACCAAAAACATAACGTGAGAAAAAAAAAAAAAAGAAGAAAAAAATAGGGAGTAGCTTACATTTCAGTTCTATGTCTTTAGGCGGAGGCACATTAGGAGTATCAGGTTCATCCTCCTCTTCTCTGTTGATCCACCTTTGTCTGTCAGGATCCCATACAATCTGAAATGGTAGCAAACAGTAATTACTCATACATGCCTAATACAGGGAGTGTGGGGGTGCACAATAATTGGTGTGGGGGATTTTTCTCAATATGCAATAAACAGATGGTTCTTAATAAAAAGAGATCAGAAAATCATTTATAGGGTGAAAAAGTACAATATTAATAAATGAAGTGTGTATATAAGCTGGTGGGGGGTATGCTGAATATTTCTTTAAAAAAAAAAAAAAAAAACATAAAAAATAAAGGTTCCCCCCACCCACCAGTCTCATAGGCACCTATTAGTATATAAAAGCTTATTTTGTCTGAACATCCAGCTTATGACGGTTATTTAAGAACAGCAAAATACACAATAGCATTTTGCCTGCATATCGAGCTGTTATTAAATATAAGCAAAAATACATAACAGCATATTTGCTGGCATATCTAACTTATGCTGGTTATTAAAGCCAAGCAAAATACGTGACAGCATTTTGCTTGAATATCCAGCTTATGACTTATTAAATACAAGCAAAAATACATAGCATTTTGCCTGAATATCCAGCTTATGACTTATTAAATACAAGCAAAAATACATAGCATTTTGCCTGAATATCCAGCTTATGACTGTTATTAAATACAAGCAAAAATACATAGCATTTTGCCTGAATATCCAGCTTATGACTGTTATTAAATACAAGCAAAAATACATAGCATTTTGCCTGAATATCCAACTGATGACTTATTAAAGAAGAGCAAAATACATGAAAACATTTTGTCTGAATTTAGAGGGAAAACAATTCATTTTAATTCTAAAGCAGAATAGAAATCTTTCTTAGTATATTTACGCAAGTAACACTGCTTTTCAATAACAATTATTATGCAAATGAACAATACATTTTCGTGAAATAAAAACATGCTCACAAGTCTAACAAATATAAAACAAGTGAAAAATAAATACAAACGTTAGCTCTCACTCTGTCTACTCAACATTCTTTTACAAGTAACATTTTTCACAAAAGCCAGAATGCATTTTCAACATCATCATAACAGTTAAGAACATATTTGGAAGCGGTTATTGATATGACAAAGAAAGCTTTTTGATTGCTTAAAACATTTGTATCAGAAAAATTCCCAACTGTGTGTGTATGTATGTGCATGCATTAATACAAGCAGTGTAGGGTGATTTGTTGGGTCAAGGGTTAACACAGATATGAAATGATATGAAGATGACTGAAATTCAAAATGTAAATTCAATATATTTAGGGAAACAGGATCTGTTTTTATTTTCCCCTTCCAGGTTTTCTTTTGCTAAGATTTTAAGGGATAAGCCAAGCTTCTCATGGTAGAAATTGTAATCTTTTATTACACATGAGAATGTAGGGCTACATTAAGTTAGGATGTCTTATAGTTTGTTTGTTTTTTTTAAGTTATTTTACAAAATAATTAACCAAGAATTCCAGCAATAATCTAATCCGTTTCCACTTCATTTAGTACACATTGACATATTTTTTTAATTAGAAAAACAATTTGATAATATAACAACTCGGCTAGAAAGTGTAACACAGACAAGCAAGTTCCTTTCTTGATTACTATTTAAAACTATCAAAAGCCAGAGTTCTATTCAGAAAATTATCACCCAGCCTGTTCTTGAAAGTTATCAGCAAATACACCAACCACAGTAATTTTATAAAAGATGGGGGACTGAGGATTTTACAAGTATTAGACATACTGTTCAAAAGTAGTAGGAGGAAGCAATGGAAGGGCTTTTATATCAGTTCTCTTCATATAATGGGCATCTCTAACTTAACATTTGAAGTGGTATTCTGCCCCCCCTCAGACATTTCAGTCACCCTACTACATTGTTTTAATAAGATAAACTTTTGACATAAAGTGTATTCAATTACAAAAGGAAAACTGGTAAAGGTCATTAATGACTATAAAAGAATCTATATAAGTGACACACACTTGCCTACTGAAGTATATTAAATTTAAAACAAACCTACAAACTGGAATAGAAAAGTATGAAACTTACAGAAGGATTTTTATCATCAGGCAGTATCATGTCTTTTTTCCGTTGGCCACCAAAGTTGGAAAATATATTCCACCAGCTTTTCTGGTCAGCCTAAAATTTAAGATCACATTGAAAGAATTCATCTGATAAAAGGAACAGCAAAAAGATTTTTGCCTGCTTCTTACAAATAAATGTTTCTTATTGAAATGAACAGACGTACTACAAATCTGATTTTATATATATATATATATATAAATTAAAACTTTTCTATATTGATGGGGGAAAGGAGCTCAATATTGAAGATAAAGTGTTTTTGGATATAAACAGTGTGAACATAGGAATCAATAGCAGATGCTATTAGATCATGGTCTGAAGATCACTTGGGATGTGAAACTGACAGTTATCATGCAGTGTTGATTTCCATGTTCACTCTTATATATATATATATATATATATATATATTTCTTGAGCAGAAAAAAATGAATCAAGCACTTATCATATTCTCTTCAATTAATGTTTTGATTGATTTATTTATTTATTTATTTTTTTACTGCTTATCAACTTATTGGGTTATTTAAAGCCAAAACATTTTGGATTGTTATAATTAACAGTTTCTGAGAATAACAATGATTTTTTTCAGATACAAGTTCTATTTACCTCATAGCTGGGGGCAGGATGTTCATACCTCCCCCAAGGGTATTCATGTGTAAGTGAAACTAACAAACCTGGTAGGATTGTTTTATTGAATAGAGGCAAACTATGTGACAATAAAACATGCTAAGTTTGTGTGGAAGCATATTTGAAATTATAGATAAAATAAATACACAAACAATTTTTAGACCAGTGGTTTCCAAACAGTGCAGCACGAAGAGGATAGCAGGTGAGGCAGAATGATTGAAAAACAATCAAAGATTTAGAAGCAGTTGCCAAAAATAAATGATTTCAAAATTCTAAATATTATTTTGGATTACTTGTAATTGCATGCATGAGTCCCAGTATAAATAGTTATAAATAATTATTGTCCAATTTTTATCTTTGCAATATGTTTGCATTATATCAAGTATTAAGTAACTAAGGAGCACAAATTGGAGGAGAGAGTTATCAATGATAATCATCTGACTTCGAATCTGCAGTTATCTCCCTTTAACCCTCTCTCTTGACCTTCTTTGCCAAAGGACTGCTTGCACCTTTTCACCAGGAATTTTTATCCATTTAAATTTGGTGAGGCCCAAACAAATTTTCATTCTGAAAATGCATCTCAGAGAAAAAAAAATGTGGGAACCACAGTTATAGATTGTTGTTCTTCAGTTAAGTGCTTGTAACCCCATAGGGAATATATTGGGTGCATATCATGGCCAAATTGAGGATCACTGACCAATTGTGGAAAAACATTTAAGAAGGATGTAACACATTGTAAACTGTCAAATGGCCCAAAAGAACATTTATTCAATGAACATACTCTGCATACAAATACTGCATACACTGCTGTATGTACAACAATGCTGCATATTTCACCTATAGTTAATAGAATAATTACAAAAAATTTTTAAAAAAATTTTTAAAAAAATAAAAAAAATTTTTAAAAAAATAAAAAAAATTTTTAAAAAAATAAAAAAATTTTTTAAAAAAATAAAAAATTTTTAAAAAAATAAAAAAAATTTTTAAAAAAAAAAATTTAAAAAAAAAAATTTTAAAAAAAAAAAATTTAAAAAAAAAAAAAAAAAATTTTTAAATTTTAAAAATTAAAGAAATTTTAAAAATTAAAAAAATAAAAAATAAAAAAGCAAGCTTGTCTTCTCCCACCCTAAGAGTATATGAGTATATTACCATCAGCAATCTAAATTTAATATTTTCTTTAACAATGCTTTATAACTGACATTTTATAAAAACCTATTTCCATGAAAATTACAAACACTGAAGATCTTTCAACCTCATGGATCATTTGAGGTAATATTTAAAATATTTGTATATGAAATTAATAAAGGTAATTTTCTGAACAAGGATCTATAAAAATGTGAGACACTTCCAAACTTATTTGACAGTTTCATTCAATGAAAAAAGAAAAATGTTGGATTTTTGATTGATTCATTCATTCATTCATTTTCTATAGCTTATCAACACTACAGATTTTTTGAAGACAGAAAATATTTTTAGATTGCAAGAATTTTTTTTTTTTTTTTTTTTGGGAGATAACAATTGTTGTGATAAAAGTCTTACTAATTAACCTTTCCCACGTAAGTGAATATAATAAACCCAATTGGAATTGGAACTCTGCTCTCAAATTAACAACTTTGAGCCATGACACTACCCACACATCCAAGCTTACAGTATATGGTATTCCGAAGGAGTCATCTATCTAGGTACAGACCAGGCTCAATGTTGCTTAACTTTTGGTGATTGTCAGATCATTATTGTTTAAGAAATGTAAATTTAAGGATATGAAAAGAAAAACTTGTTTGAACAAAAAAGCAACCTATGCAATGTTACTCTTTTGATAACGAAGATCTCAAAAATAGTTTTTTTCTTTCTCTATCCTATATTGTTTCAGAGAACTGTTCCCTTTAAACAAGAAAGAGCAGAAAAGATACACTCTTAAAAAGGTAGGAAAGCACAAATCTAATACAAAGTAGAATATAAAACAAAAATTCTTTTTACAAAGGTTTTCTAAAAACATAAAACTGTATTGTAATTTCCAAATTGCTGGGTATTATAAATTAAACAATTTTTCATTGGGTTAATGACTTATTATGGTACTAGGATGTTGACCATCATATAATGGAGTTTTAATGTTGGGATTATGCTATGCCATTGTGGGTAATGATAGGTTTTGTCCCTTTTTGTCATCCATACTTCAGCTGTCTCAAGAGAAGCTGTAAAATTTAAGTGGGCTTTCATCACATGAAAGCTGACTCAACAACCACTTGATCTGTGAAATGAGTTAACATGTTTTCAGCAGACGGTTGTTACATGTAACAACCGTCTGCTGCAAACATGCATTTTTTTCCATTTTCAAAACTAGATTGAGTAATCATTAAATTAATTCATGATGCTTACTTTATTTTGGGAAGATGACAGTTTTAATTTTTGTCAGTTGATAGCCATCATAATATAATCAAATTTAACTTTAGACAAAAAAAAAAAAAAAAAAATGAAGCAATCCTTGGTCAAGAGGAGAGTAAACCTGTTTCTTTAAATTATTTTAAAGATTGCTTTTATTTTCCAGATAAACCTGATCTGAGTATATAAAAATATTTTTGAATGAATAACTTTATGCAATTTTCCTGAAATTAAAACTTTTTCAAAAAAGATGTTTAAATTATTGCAATTTGTTGTAAAGTATTTTATAAAAAAAAATATCTGTGACCACTGCTACAATATGTAATGTTTCTGGTGTCTACAAAGTTAAAATGAGTAAGGTATAAATTGAAGATAATATTAGAGATAGAAAACCTGGACATAACTTAAAAAAAAAAAAAAAAAAAAAACTACAATCACAGTAGTTGGCACAAAAATAGGACAGAAAAAAGCAAAAAAATTTTATCGCCAGAATCTATGTTACATTTTTATGTGTCTACCATTCATCCTAAGTTTGAATATTGCTGCCACATCTGGTTTGGTGTTCTTGCTATATATATATATATATATATATATATATATTAGGAAATTATATGACAAAGTGTAAAAAGTTTACTTGAGATGTTTCCTCCTTCAGGACTTCATCGGACTAAATTTGTTATGTTGATACAACTACACATGTGCAAGAATGAAGGGTGCTGGGAATTTTAGAATATATATATATATATATATATATAGCTGAATTCATTTAGTCTTTTTCTTTCTATGTTGAAATGTTGTAAGAGACAGGGTGCAAATTTACTGTAGATGAACTTGTGATCAAGGCACATTTAGTCCAATGAAGTACTGAAGAACAAAACGTCTCACATGTAAACTGTTTCCATTTTTTCACACAATTTCCCCAATATTGTTCTTGTTATATATATATATATATATATATATATATTTGTAAAGCAACCGTTCTTTTAAACGTCTTTCACTAAATACTGCAGGCAAGTAAGATTTAATTAATATTTTATTTAGTTTTTCCTGCATCCTTACATTTTTTCTATTTTGTAGAGTAAGGGAGTATAGAAATTTTCCATAATTTTCATTGTCCCAAATGCTTTTGGCCACTTCTTTAGCCATTTTCAGGGTGAGGGGTTGTTTTTCCTTCATGTTTTTGACTGTTTAAGCTGCATTTTTGTGCTGTTTTTGAATAGGAGCGTTCATTCCAAGACATTGTGTATTGAGCACAGCAGGAATTTGCATGAGCATCTTTCTATTTTTAAAAAGCTTTAACACACACCATTTCTACTGTTAAATAAGGTGAGATTGATAGTAGAACAGAGATGTTTGATATACAGGGCCTCTCTCACAGTGAGATGTTTCTGGTAATGTGATTTATATAGAATTTTAGTGTTTTTGACCATAACTTTTCTTAAGGGTTGATAGAGTTTTTTTTTATAGACAGATAGAGATTCTTGATAAATTCCAAAGAAGAATCAGCAATTTTATTGGTCCTGACCTGGCATCACAGCTTCACTCTCCTACTGCCATAATATAGCAAGGTCTCAATACTTTACAGTTGAAATGGCTAGATGTAACTGCAAGTTCTATTCTAGCAGTTTCTTCAATTTCATTTCTCAAACTCTTGACTCCTTAACTTCCCAGTGAAGTTTGATCTTTAAAAATTTAAATGAAATGTTGTTATATTGTCTTCTTAATCCTTGTTCTTTTATTGTTCTCCCTCCCTAATAGTTTTTTTACCTTTATATTCTCTAACACTCTTGCATATTAGTGGCTTTATTATCTTGCTTGGAGTGAAATATAAAAAATAAAAAAAAAAAAAAAAAAAAAAAAAAAGCTAAAAGGAAGCAGGAAGAAAGAAAATACACAAGTCTCAATAGCGTATTGAGACGAGTATATTTTTCCATAAACAGATCACATTAAGCCCACACAACAAAATCTTCTCTTTACACAGGGAAAGTTGTTTTGATTTTTTTTTTTAAAATATTTTCCAGGACTTTTAGATGATAGTTAAAATGCGATCTGCACAAAAGATTTTTAATACTGTCTGTTTTATCCCTGTAACACATGAATTATCATATTTTCCGTAATCATATTTTTGGTTGTTTTGTAATGCCTGTTTGTAGGAGAGACTTTGTAAATCACAGATACAATAATAGTAACGCCTTCAAATTATACTCAGTCAGACATCACTAATTCCCATATATATATTTTTCCTTTACTCGTCACATGATCTAATTATTTCAAGATGAGGGTGACTGTAATTGCTCTCTGAGAAATCTGTGTTCAAACCCAAGTGTAGGCAGCGACACTTTATTCCTATATAACAGGTTAATTTCATTTAGCGGCATATCAACCTCTATGGAATATTTAAATGCTGAAATCTAAATATTTTGAGCGCAATTGTATGCCTTCAACAAAAAGATAAAATCTATTGTTGGACATTTTTTTTTTTTTTGTATATAAAAATGTATTGCTGTTATTTTTTTTTTTTACTATAAAAATATATTTTTATACTTTCATATTTTTTATATTTTGGGGGTTTACTATTTGCCCTTAGCTAGGACCATAACAAGTGCTACTGCCCCCATATTTTTTGGTATATACATACAAGATATGAAAGGTGTATCAAGCCTATACTACGAGACTTTAACAAAAACATAGCGTAACATATTTTGTGCATTACAAAGCAATTGACATTGGTGTGTGTGTGTGTGTGTGTGTGTGTGTGTGTGTGTATATATATATATATATATATATATATATATATATATGACAACGTCAGATGTATAAAAAGCTACACGGAGATGAATACTACCATTAAAACTTACTGGCTTCTGTTTTGCCACTTCTGTTTTTTTTGATGATTGTGATGGAGCTTTCTTTACACTTCCTGTGCTTGCATTACTGCTTTCTGACAATGTCCGTTGCCGGTTAACACCATACCGTGTTGGTGGAATGATAGTCTAAAAAAGAGAATAAATTTTAAAAGGATACTATTAAGAAACAAGAATTAAAATTAAGCAATAGAATTTCATTACACAAGTTGCTACGAAAAATTTCAAGTAATTTGAAAAAAACAGAGCACATACAGCAAATGTAGTAAAAGCCTTTTGTTATGTTTACAGAATCGTTACACCAACTGAATATTTATTAATGGTAGTCGTCCATTTTATGGTCAAATTCAATAACTTTCAGATATCAACTCTGATATAATATTAACAGCAGCAATGACATCACATTAATATTTGGAAATATATTTTAATAAGTGCAGCATTAGTGCAATTACCAAACTTGGGATAGAAAAAAAAAAAAGAGAGAGAAAGAGTGTGGAATAGAAAAAAAGAAAAGAGAGAGAAAGAGTGTGGGATAGAAAAAAGAGAGAGAGAGAGAGTGTGGTATAAGACAGGATAGAGAAAGAGTGGGGGGATAGAGAAAAAGAGAGAAAGAGTGGGGGGATAGAAAAAGAGAGAGAAAGAGTGGGGGATAGAGAAAAGAGAGAGAAAGAGTGGGGGATAGAGAAAAAGAGAGAGAAAGAGTATGGGATAGAAAAAAAAAGAAAGAGTGTGGGATAGAAAAAAAAAGAGAGAAAGAGTGTGGGAGAGAAAGAAAGAGAGTGGGATAAGACAGGATAGAGAAAGAGTGGGGGATAGAAAAAAAAAAAAAAAAGTAAACTAGAAAATAAAATAAAAAATAGATTCTATTTGGTCATATTTTGAGAAGGATGTTGGATCAAGAACTTTTAAGACCCCCCTCCCCCACATAGATATCTATATTACAACATTTGCAAAAGCTGCTTCATAATCTTTCTACTTAAAAAAGGAAGAAACAAAAACATGGATATTTTCAAGTAAAAGCATTGTTTTAGCATTCCATTTAGAACAATTCTTTATGCTATTTTAGTCAGAAAAATACTTGTCCCTACCCATTCAGCTAACAGCACAAGAATCAATCACCATGATGACAAGCCATTTGTCAAAAATAAAAATATGCTTCCAAATTTCTAAAGATGTACAGAAGGAAAAAAAAAAAAAAAAAAAAAATCAATTTTCTGTCCTTTTCAAAATCTAGTTGGACTCATTAATGTTCTTCTTGTCAGACCTAATTTTAGTAAATTCTATAGATTAGTAACTATAATAGTAAAAATAGTAACATTTTTCCAGATTTTACTGTCAGCCACTTCAGTAAAATGAGGAGCATTCAATTATAATATATATATATATATATATATATATATATATATATATATATATATATATATATAAGCATTACTATTCATTCCAAAGGATGATTTTTTTTCATCTTTCTATTATAATAGTGGCCTTTTTTTTCTTTTTTAAAGATTGCCTAAGTCCAGATTGCACACTGAAGTGTCTAAAGCAGTTGCAGAGAGTTTTTTTTTTTTTATTACTTATGACCTATGTATGACCAACTGGTTTAAATTTAGTATTCCTTCTCATAGACTGTTTACTACCGAAGCCTAGTCTTGTCTGCTCTTCTATTTAAATCATAGCTAGGAGTGGGGTGGGTGGAAAAGATTCATGCCTTTCTCAAGAGCACAAGGGATAAGTAGAAACAAAGAAATACTGACAATGAAACACAGAGAGAGAGATGAAGAGAATTATTTACATATGGATTTGAAATACTACCTAGGATCAGTGCAGAACCTGTGTACTGTTAAAGATGAACGCATTGCACCCCATCCCTTCGCTTTGTATCAATATAGTCTCTGTGCATTCTGCCTAACTTAATATTTGCAAGTTAATTTCACCAGGTTGTTCAAACAGAAGAATGCTAGCCTAATGGATATGTCACTTGCCTGTTATCTTCAGGTCAGGCATTCAAATCAGAGCCAGATTCACTTGTTAATATTTTATAACTTTTACATTTAACATGACAGAAGTTACAAAGAAACAAAGACACACACAGAAAAAAAAAATCACATTTTTCATTATTATATATAAGTAGTGCCTTGCTTTCCTGCTTGTTGGGAATCCTATTCTGTGGTTCCAGTCTTTAGAAAATCAGGTGAACCATCTGATCCTTCTATCAGCTTATTAGCCTTCTACCTCTTTTTGGTAAAGTACTTGAAGCTCTAATCAATTCTGAATTGGTTAAGCATCTCACTTTCTCATCTTCACTTCTCAAAGACAACTGCTGATGCATTACTGAAAGCATTAGATAAGAATAGCGATGTTTAAGCTATTGCTTTGGATATTTCAAAGGCATTTGACAGGGTTTGGTATACTGGTCTTCTTCACAAGTTGAAAGGTTAAGGCATTTCTGGATGTATTTTCAAACCAATTCAGTCTGCATCAAATCATAAAATGAAAGTTGTCTTGAATGGCCATTCTTCTAGATCTTTTTGCATTAATGCAGGCATCCCCTTAGGCTCTATACTTGGACCTACATTGTTCCTAATTTTCATCAACAACCTTCCTGATGCCATCAGTTCTAAACTCAGTATCTATGCTGATGACAACTATTTATTCCTGTCTTAATACAGAGTCTGGTCAGTTTGATAAGGTCAAATTAGCAGATGATATAAAAAGCATACCCATGTTCTTCTGTTAAAGAATTTCTACTTGTTTTTGAAGGTTTCATAAAATTCATCAACCCTGTTAATGGGCAACAAAGCATACAATTATACAGGTAGGCGATTTTGAGAGAATTAGAAGCCCTTCATTAGTGGTAGATACAATCTTAACAACATAAGACATGCAGACAATACACTGTTGATAGACACAGAAAGGAAACTGCAAAAACTCCTACAGAAGGTAGTGAAGGAAAGCAAGAAAAAAGGACAAAGCATCAATTGCAAGAAGAAAGAATGCTTGGTCAGTTTGAGGACGTCAAATTGGCAGATAATCTAAAAATAATTACCCATGTTCTGTTGTTAACTGGGGTAAGGAATGGCTTGTTAACTTTAACACCACCAAAACAAAACTGCTATCTATTAATCATCTGAGAGAACCCTTTCTATGTTATATCAGCATGGCTGATGCTAACCTCCAGGAGAGTGACTTGTTGCCCCTTCTCAGACTAACATTTTCCACTGACATGAAGTGGAAGGATTATATTGAATCAATAGCTAGGTCTGCTCGTAGAAAATTTGCTTCTCTGTGTTATGCTAGACAATTTTTCTCATCAGAATCTATCTTACATATTTACAAGTCTACCATTCATCCAATACTTATAATTACTGCCAGATATGGTCTGGTTCTCCTGCCACATATTTAGAGATCCTGGATAAAAATCAAAAGAAGAATCTGCAAGGTTACTGATCTTAACCTGGCATCTCACCTTCAGCCACATTCCCACTGCTGTAACATAGTTTCCCTATGCATTTTCTATAAATAGTAATTGCTCTGATGAACTTTTTTTCCTATGGTACCTAGACTATGAATTTAAGTGCAGTACTAGATTGGCAGAAAGGTCCCATCATTTTACAGTTGAAACAATTAGATGTAAGCATAACTTCTATTCTAACAAAAGCTTCTATTGTACTTCTCACTTGTGGAACTCTCTTCCAGATTCTTGTTTCCACAGTCAACTTCGATCTTCAAAAATTTAAATGTCAATCTTTATCTACCGTTTTCTTAATTTCTGTTCTTTCATTGTTCTCACTTCTTAATGTTTTTCTAATATTCTTTCACACTGAGTAACATCCTGCATGTTAGAGGCTTTGTTGCCTTGCTTGGGGTGAAAAGATTATTAAAAGAAAGTGATGCTCTGAAAGTTATTTATTTATTTCCATAGATGCTACAACAAATAATGAGCACAATAAATATGTTGGATAGAGCAAAATTGTATTTTTTCCAACATAGCCACCAGCGCTGAACAAAAGTCTTTATTCCACAGGTTGATAACTGCACACACCTTCTCAGAACTTAGCTTGGCTATACGCACATCTGCTGCCACTGCTGAAATGCATAACCCACCATTTGGTCTCCAAAAATGTTCAGTAATGATCAATGAATATCAATGCATGACTTTTTTTTTCCCCCCACATTGACACATACTGCTTCATACATTATGAAATGGACAAATCCGACAATTATTTTAAGACATTTTTCTTAAAATAATTGTCGGATTTTGTCCATTTCATAATGTGTGACATCATTTGTTTACATTTGGAGCAGATATGAATGTACGAAAGAAAATCATGAAGAATTGTAGTTTAAAAACAGTAAAATGGACCTTGCTAACCGAAACGCTCCACTGTGGCTCAATCAGTAAAAGCACACCAGGCTATATTCCTGTCAGTGAACACATATTTTCTATGAAAATTTCTCAGACATTCAGGCCGGTAAATGTCATTAATACTGTTTATTATAAACAGAGCATTTACTTAAATATCTGTATCTATAAAAAGAATGTATAAACATAAAAAAATGTCTTAAAATACTGCTTCATATTATTGCCTGGATCACACTCCTTCCCCATCTTTTGAACAAGAGTAGAGGTTTATCCCTTGTTTCCTATTTAGAATTGTGTTTCTAGTTCCTTTTTGTAAAGTCTTTTTGTTTTTTGTTTTTTTTCACTTCCAGTAACCCCTTGCGTCTTAGTGGCATTATCACCTTACTTGGTGTGAAATGATTGAAAATAAATAAATAATAAATAAAATAATAATATCTGTCTGAATTTCTGGGATGTGAAGTTATTAACACTATTCACATTCAGACTATTATCCTCATCTTTGCTGTTGTGATCACAATGTTTTGAACATTGTTCTCTCCAGACTTCATCAGGTGTATATCAACCTAGCTAACCTACAGAGAATACCAGACTGAACCCTTTATTTAATTTATGGTGGTAGACTGCTCTCATTCCACTGTCTCTGTCTATAGATATCACATCTAGTTCTTATTTTTAGTTATGTTCAGTTATTTCTCACTGTTTCCACTGAGTCCTAGTACACACTGCCTGGCCCAAGGAGTGAACTCACAATTACTATGTCACTAAA